AGTAGGTAGGTACCCACCTACTAATAAAATCGAAAGTAAAAAATGCAAATAATATAATTGAACAAAAGTAGGTACAATTTTAATAATACTGATCAATCGACTGCAATAAAAAGCCATTGAGTGTCGTCTTTTAATAATAAAAAAATTCGACCAAACTCTCTGTTCTCTCCCGCTGTTCAATAAAAGGTAATTTGCAACATGAAGTACGGCAATTATGGTAATTAGATAAATTCCATTACAACATTCCTAGACAGCAATCTATCTTAAAGACTCTCGGTTATTCTAACGAAACATTTATAAATTATCTTTTGTGATTATTCAATGTAGACTTGTTGCCTATTTAAGTTTATTGCTGCAGTTACGGTACCTCAGTAGTATCAAGCGGTTAAGTTAATATAAAAGGTGTGTTTACAATTTATTATTTAATTTATTTTTACTCGAATAATCACCAAAATATTATTCTAGTTCTAGATAAAACTCTGTTCCTAGTACCTGGGCTTTACTTGCAATAATATTCCTACTTTGAGTTTTTCATTAAAAATTAAATAAATCCCCTGGTTTGAGTAAAGCAGAACAAAACGATTGTAGGTTTGGGGCATTTTTAAATGTATTTTTCATTTATTTGTGTTCTATTGCGACTGAGTGCTTAGGAGTAATTAAGACTAGCATTTTTCATTAATTTATTTTCCAAATTTACATATTGTTCCCTCAATAAATGGCAATTTTCACTCGTTTTTTGCTCAGTGTTTTACATTCTTATTCACTCGCTTTTCCTCATGAAATTTTTGATGCAAAACTGTTAGGAACTAATCGAAGAAAATCTTCTAGGGAACTGATCAAATAGGAATCTTTAGTTTCTTCCCTTGGAAAAAGATCGTGTCTCAACCTGATAAAATGACTTTTCAGGCGTTCAAAGAAAAAATTACGACTTGCTTTTGGAAACAAAAGTCAAATGAAATGTTCAATTTTGTCTGATCTCTGAATCCCATCCATTAAGCTCAACTGGAAATAAAAGACAAAAAAACAGAAAATCATGCGAAACTATCCAAATAAATCGAAGTCCAAAATATTGCCGATATAATTTGCTGAATGCAAGATTGCTGAATGCAAGATGCAAAATGCTTGAAAAATATAATATTCAAAACATGTTGCTGACAGTTGCTCTACTATTCAACTAATTCACTTTGCAATATATTTTGCCAGATTAATGAAAAAAACCACCTAAAATTGTCGAAATCAGCTCAAGCTGACTAAAACAAAGACAAACTCACGCAAATTTGTCCAAAGAAATAAAAAACCACCATAAATTGACTACTAAAAGTCACTACAATTGATTAAAACAATATTTTATTGTTAGGAACCACGATTTTTACCCAATGAGTGATTAAATGAACAAGGAATATTGACCCATCAGCAGGCTAATGAAAAATGCAAAATAAGGGAAATAAATTTGGAAATGTCAGTGATTAAGAAACAGTTAAAATTCACTGAAATTCAACAAATATTGTCTAGTTGGTAAAAAATGTAAATTTGGTATCGGTTTTTGATTTTGTATACCTACATTTAATTAGCACTAATTAATAATTGATTATGAGATTTAATGATGTTGATTTAATAATCGTGGCCGCTTGATACAGCTGGTAGACCGCAGTGCTCTAAACGATTTTAAATCAACATTACTCACTCAAATCTAAACAGGCTCGACTGTGTTTTTTCAAAGACGCTCAGCCACCTATCGACCAATCGCACGCGTTGTTTACCATCAAACCACGCCCCTAATTGGTACCGGATTTTTTCACTTGTTTTGGGTTCCGCCTTTCCGTGATTAAACGTCAATTTGACGGATTAACTGGACCGAAGCGCCGGAAGTAAAACCGCAGCCGAAGATCGTGGATCGATTTTTAAGGGCCGATAGAAGTTGGTTCTTTTGTGGTTTGTGATCGCCCCAACCAGCACATCGCTTTTTGCATTTGCTGGGCCGAGATTTTCGAAATTAAATTTGAAAGTCAAGTTGAGGAAAAGTTTCGGGTAATTTCAAGACAGCAGTAAACAAGTCGGAACGAACTTTTGATTTATGTGCATCTTCAATTCGGCGCAACTGCGGTCCAGAATTTGGTTGAGTTTCTGCCGGGTTTGAGGCAAAAATATGCGTCGTACCAGTTTCTTTCGATTGGAATTAAATAAAAATTTACCAATTTTGCAGCTGTTCCTCTAATGGAAACAACCCGCAAAGGAATATGCGGCAAATGCGTAACTTTATAGTAAAGGGAAAAATGCGATGTTTGCCTTTGAAAATCCAGAACGTAGCAGTCTCGTTGACAATTTTCCCTATTTACGTAGAAGACACAACCCCCGACGGGGCCCTACAAAAGGGGTGTAAGTTAGCGAGTTCAATTACGACAACTTGTTAATTCAAAATGTGAAACGTCGCAAAGTTTCGTCGAGAGACGTACGGAAACTTTGGCGAGAGAGGGGAAAAGTTGCAGTTTAGTTTGCGTATAAATAAGTTTGCGCAATTCGCCGAGCAGGAGGATGAGGAGTTTCCCTGCCGGATCTACATGAGGATCAATCGAACTCGAGCAGAATTACCGGCAAATGATCAGGATGATTATGACGAAAAGCAGCGATTCCTACACACCGGAAACATGGAACTCCTATGTCCGGTGTTTTTCGAACTGTACCTGTTGAATAGTAAAGACACACGTGTCACAAAGGCTTAATGTTAAATAGAATGCGTATTGTTAGGTCTGGAAACACGAGGCGAATGCCGAATAGATTAGCGAATGTTTTATGGTAAGCACGTCACTTAAATGTGTGTAATGTAAATGGTTAACCACTATTATGTCACAGCAGATGTTCATTTGAATAATATCAGTATGTGGATAGGATTTTTTTGTTTTTCCTTGCAATCAAACCATCTAATTTGCGGGGCCAGAATCGGTTAAAGTTGGCTTAACAAACTAAACAAGCTTTGTTAATCAGGCTTGATGAGGAATTTCGTATTTTGTCGCTTTCAGTTGAAAGTTTTGTTTTGTTTCATTTTTTCAGTCTCATATGCACCTACTTTAATTCCTTAGGAGTCATTATCGATTAATTGGAGATCAAAGAAAATCCACCCTTTTTAGGCCAATAAAATAATTTGGTGATTAGAGGTTCAATAGCGGCTGGAGCTGGTTTAGCTAAAGAAAACGTTATTTTTAGACCCGCGCTTAAACATTGACCAAAAATCAGGATTCATTGCGAATTTAACGAAAATTTTCCAATGTTCAGACTGAAGAGTCTACTAAATTGGGTCCAACTTTCAAGTTCGTACCTGCTCTCCATTAGAACTTCGCAATTTTTTAAGACAAGCAAGGACTGCGCGCTTTTGGTTAGAAACGATTGTTTTTAGGCCCGTGCTAAAACATCAGCAAAAATGAGGCTTCACTGTGATTTCAAGCAGAACTTCTCGACGATTAGTTGCAAGCGACTTTTATACGTTCTGAAAATTTCAAGTTCCTACTGGTCCCAGATCAATAGTTACAAATTTTTACAAAGAACGGGCCTTGGCTGGAAGCTATTATTTGCAGACCCGCGTTTAAACCCCAAGAAAAAATCAGGATTAGCAAAGATTTTTCAAAAAATTAATGTACTCAAGCCCGTGCTATGTTCTGTAAAACTATCAAGTCTGTGCATGTTCCGGATTAGCACTTACGATTTTTTAAGAGAGCGGGCGATTGCCTCAAAATATTGATTTTTAGACTTGCATTTAAACCTCACAAAAACTGAGGATTCCATGCAAATTCCACGAAAATTTCTCCTGCTTCAGGCTAAGGTGTCTGCTCTGCCTTGTAAAAGTTTCAGAATTGTACTTGTCTCAGATGAGTAGTTAT